CCTCCTCCTCCTCCTCCTCCTCCTCCTCTCCTCCTCTCTCCTCCTCCTCCTCCTCCTCCTCCCCCTCCTCCTCCTCCTCCTGCTGCCCCCTCGCTTCGGCTTCGGCGTCGGCTTCCACAAGCTCGTCGAGCTTTTTTGGCAGGCGCCTCGAGGCACAGTGCCCACGTGTCTGCCTCGCGAGGACCCACGGAGGCGCGGCGCAGGCGAGCGCGGGGGCGTCGGCCGCGGAGGCCGAGCGGCCCGTGGACGAGCTTCGGGGAGGGGGTGCGCCATCCGGCAGCCGCCGCGCATCGGAGGGACGCATGGCTGCGCATTCGACCATGGACCCCTCTGCTACGCCTCGGCCTTCGGCGATTTGTTTTCTCTCGCCTGGGCCGGCGTAAGAACACAGACGGACAAACAACACAAGCAACGGCACGCTTCGCAAACCTAGCTAATCGGTAATTGTGTACGGCGGCGTGTGTCACACGCTCCTGTTACTGTCGTGCGGACCACCTCGCCCACGGGCGCTATACCCGAAACTTCAAGCGTGCATGCACGAAGGTATGGTCAAAGGCCCAGATGTTTAACTCCGTAGAGAAATCTTTGAAACCTGCCTGAGCAAAACCATTATTGCTCAAGCCGACGGCGTCAAGCCAACCAGTTTGCATATAGATTGCACGCTTCTCCGAGTCGTGATTGAGGTATCGCTGCGCTTCATCGCTCCTTGCCTTGGTCTTCGCAACCTTGTCATGCATCCCGAAGAAGGACTTCCGAAGAAGAGTGTGTATGCCTTCTTCCTCAAACGAATTATCATTGAAAAGCCACCCTCTATCATTATGATCTGCCATGCCAGTCAACATGACTGCTTCCTCTAGAAGATCCACTTGGTCGTCCTTGCAGGACTTTGATGTCCCACTCTTCTGGTCCCTGCATCGCTCTTTAATAAACTGTTTGAGAGATTTGTCTAATTCCTTCGAAGTGAGAACCAGCTGCTCCGCGGGTCCAAAGGGAATAGTCTCTTCGTCTTCTTCATCGTATGCATGTCTTGCAGCCAAGTAATCAATAAACTCCCGGTTCATCCGGTCAAACCAGGGCTTGCGCTTATACGTAACCATATCTGGGACTGCCTTTGTCTGTCGCCACCAATCAGTCATGAAATAAAACATGTCCGACAAGCGTCTCAGTCCAGCGTGAGGCGAGTAAGGCCTTCCATCGGTGGCAACGCCTTTGAAGTGAGAGGCGTCCCAATCCAGCATCTCCTTACGCGCTCTCTTGCCACACAGAGTGAGCAGAACACGCTCCATGCAGTCATCGGAAATCTTCCGGGTCGTCACGTTCATCGAGCCATCATCCTTAGAGGGCAGCTCCACCTCCTCGGATTCGCAGCCCTCGGGCAAAACCAACCTCGTGTTGATATCTCCCGCCGCGACGACCTGTAAGGTCCTCCCGTCCTGTCTTGCTGCAGCGCTTCGTCGGGAGATCTCGTCCTGGAGCTTCTCGATCTGCACTGCTTTGTCGTCATCCGTGGGAGAAAAACCAAAACCAACGACCAACAGCAAACCGTCATCGCCCACGGTGACGTTCCGGAGCAACAGCCCTTTCGCGCTCCCTGCTTGGGCTCCGGCTTGACAGCACGACTCCACTCCAGGGTTGACCCTGATGGCGGGGCGTTTGGTCTTCTTCCTCGCGAAGACGGAAAGCGCATAGTAGCGCGACTCAGTCATCTCCACAAGCGGCGACGAATACGATTGTGCTGCATCGTAGTCACCTCCAAGACGCTCCCTTAGCTGAGACCATAGGCCCATGGGCCCAGGGTCGGTGTCGGTTTCCATGAACGCGACTACGTCGTCTTTATCCCTCGTGAGTTTCCTCGCGATCAGCTTCGCAGAACCCCTGGAGACCTGCATGCCATCCAGCTTGAGGGCTCCGATGCGCATGCTGAAGGCCGTCCTCTTTCAGGAGGCCACACGCGAACCCTACCCCGCCTCCTCCCTCAGAAATCGTGGGGTGGTAGGGTAGGCTTCGCATCTCGGGACCGACCGTCCCGGCATTCCTGTAGTCCTACCACGAAATGTTCTTAAAACCCAAAAATGTTCCCAATCACAAAAACATTGTCCTTAGAACATAAACCCGATGTGCTCAAACAAGATAGACTCCCCCAGAAATGTTCTGAGGACATTCCGTGGAAACCGCAAAAGGTTCTCAGAACATTGCTTGCTAGGGCTATAGGCGAGCCAGGACGCTTCGCCACCGCTTGAGCATGTGGCCTCCCAGTCCTCTTCCCCCGCTGCACCATGGCAGCCGCTTCGCTGGCGCCACTCGCCGAGGCGTCGACGCGGCGGCCAGCCACCAGCGCTGGCAGGGCCAGCAGCGCAGCGCAGGCGCGGGCGGCCGCGCTGCGCACGAGGGGGGGCGCGGAAGGGCGCATCACGAAGCCCCGCCCGACCGTCCCGGCGGGCTGCTCGGGGGGAGGGCTCGGAGACCGCCGTCGCGACCACCGATCGGGATTATTCTCCTCCTCCTCCTCCACCTCCTCCTCCTCCTCCTCCTCCTGCTGCTCCTCCTTTCGGCGTTGCTGCTCAGACTGTGGCTACGTGGCTAAAGCGTTCTTCCTCCTCCGCCGCCTCCTCCTCCTCCCATTCGATCCAGCAAGACCTGAGCTCGCCTTGAGCCAAGATGGGTTGTGTCAAGCTGCTTTGAGCCCAAACGGCCACGGACCTCGGCCTTCGGCGGCCTGGGGCGGTCTTCGGGCGGTCGTGGGCGGCCTCGGGCGGTCTGCGGCGGTCTTCGGCGCGAAGGCTTGTGGACAGCCTGCGTTTAATAAGGGGGCCCGTGACCAGCGCAACTCGACCACGGCAGGTTCGCGTCGTGACGTCGTCGGTCTTGACTTCTGACGCCGCACGGGCCGTTCAGCCTGGAGGGATCGCGTCTTTCCCCTGGGGCGGACCGAACGATGTCCGCTGATTCTGGGCCATTGGCGGCTCGCCACAACGCCCGCGCTGGGGTGGCCGCCGCGTCGAGAAGACACGAACCTACTGCACACGCAACCCGCCATCGCTCGGACGTCCATTCCCCGCGCACTCGTTGGTTTCGTGCGCGTACGTTTCGCAGGATGATCCAAGATGCTCCTCGATGGTCCTCGCCGAGAAAAAATGCACACGTCCTAGCGATGCGATGCCAAGGCAAGAATGGCCAGGGGCAAGAGCCACCTCTGGTGCGCTATTGGCTTGCCGACCGCCGCCCTCGATGCAACGGTGGCGGCCGGTGTGCGTTCGGGCCTGGGCCCCAGGCCGCCCCGCGATGGCCGCGCACCCCAGGCCACTCCAGTCCAGGGTCACTCTCATATGGGCACACGAGCGGACCTCTCGGGCGTCAAACTGCAGCCATGCTCCCAGGCAGCCGAGCGATTGATGCTTCAATCTGGGCGGTTGTCCTTCGCTCCGGCCTCCAGGGCCCGTGGCCGCGCACCTCAGGTCAGGCCAGTCCAGGGTCACTCTTGTGCGCAACCGAGCGGAACTCTTGGGCGTCAGAACTGCAGCCATGCTCCCAGACATCCGAACGATTGATGCTTGAATCTGGACGTTTGCCCTTCGCTTCGGCCTCCAGGGCCCGTTTCCAGGCCCTGGGCCCTGCAGGCGGATCCAGGATGCAAAAATGCCACAGAGAGTCGGCCAGGGACTCTGGGGACAGGGGCCTCTGGGGACCGCGGATTCAAAAACTAGTCTCGTCCAATGTCTGGCTTTTGGGGGGGGCCAGCGAAGGTGACTAAGGATGAGCCGAGGAGGCACGGATGCGTTCTTGGAAAAACATCTCCTCCTTCCTGTGGACATCGGCTGCAATACGCTCACCGTCGGCGTGCTCACCTTCACCGTAGCCCCCGTATCCTTCAAGTCTGCAAGATCCGATGCGGGCCTTGGCTGTAATTACAATCACAGTCACAGCGCCATCACCATCGCCTTCGCCTGTTGGGCTTCGCCACAGTCTCACTGGTCGATGTCGCCAGTGTCTCCCAGACTGGCAATGCTGCTCGCCGTCGTCGGCATCACTGCTCAGTCCTGGTTTCTCTTCACCTTGCCTTCGGGGGACAGGTTCATGACCCAGCGCCTCGGTCCGCACGGCGCTGGGCGGAGCAGCAGCAGCAGCGGCAGCTGCGACGGACTCATCTGTGCGGACAAGCCTCGATACGACGCCACCTGTACACGCCGGTCGGAAGAAGTGGGGAGAACCATGAAGTAGGAAGGCGTTTGGAAGCAGATTGGCCTTCCGCCCGCCCCCTGAAGAGGAGGCAAGACGAACAACCGCTCGACTCTTGAAGTAGGAAGGCGCCTAACGTAGAGTGGGATCCAGATAGCCCAAAATGCCTGGTTTCAACCACAAACGTGTACACGGACAGGAGCACCAACGATCCGCTATTGGGGCGACGCTAGTGAAGTTGCGGAGGAGACGACAACTGCAGTGAACGTCGCTACAGTCAGGACAACAAAATCCGCCGCCGCCCGTCGCGAAGCGGGGCCCTGCGCACCCCGAGCCGGAGCGCGCAAGAGTAGCAGCAGGAGGAGGAGGAGGAGGCGGCGGAAAAGGAGAGGAGGAGAGGTCGAGAGGAGGAGGTAAAGAAGAAGGTAGAGGAGGAAGAGGAGGAGGAGAAGGAGGAGAAGAGAAATGGACCGAGGAGGAGCGAAGAGGAGGACGAGGAGGATGAGGAGGAGGAGGGGGAGGAGGAGAAGGAGGAGGACAGCGAGGAAGATGCCGACGGCACTGGGCTACGGCACCCGTGACGTCACGCACACATCAGAGCCGAGGGGCACTCCACTGGGCAATGAGAGGACGCGCGCGAGAGTGAGGCGGTCCGCCTCGGCCTCTCCCCCCCACAAAGCCCCCGCTTCCTGCGGCACTCTCTGTTCTGGCCAGGTCGATGTGTGGTGTTTCTCCTCCTCCTCCTCCTCCTCCTCCTCCTCCTCCTCCTCCTCCTCCTCCTCCTCCTCCTCCTCCTGCGCTACTGCCTGAGGCGCAACCGAAGTTCACTTCGGCACCTCTAGAAAGAAATAGAGACCCGCCTTGCCCTCGTCCGTGTCAGTCATGTGCTAGGACACGTCGGGGAGGCGACCTCTCCTCAAAACGTCGAATCAGGCCATCGTTCCACCCCTTTGGGGAGGTTCCCAAGGTCAATGGCCTTGAGGGTGGCCCGACCGTCTTTCGAAAGGCGCCGATCACACTTCCTGGCGAGTCGGACGAATTTCTCTACCCCCTGTGCTCCGCACAAGCGGCAAAACCAAAGGCCTCGGAAGCTCTCGATCCGGTGTGAGTCATCAATCACGGACGGGCGCCCAGGGCAAGATGAGGTCGAGAGCTCCTCCAGGGATCTCTTCCCCACTGTGACTAGGCAGTGTGCACACTTCCAGCCCTTGGAGGTTTGAAAGATTCGATGCGAAGATTCCCTCATGAGCTGAGGGGTATGTTCAGCCTTGGCCTTTGCCTTGGCTACAGCTCTAGCATGGATGTCGCCTTTCAAAGTGGTTCCATAAAAATCTCTAGCATTCTTCGCAACCTCCAGGGCAACTAAACTCAATCGTTTTTGAACACGCCAGGCCAACTTATCGGCCTCCTGCACTTTCCCTACCAAACTGTAGGGGGGTTTGGCTTCCTCCGCGGCTTTGTCGGCCAACTTGTCGGCCTGATCGTTGGCAAACCAGTGTTCTAGAGGAAAACCAGGACCCACCGCCGAACGCTCAAGGTGACTCTTGACCTTGACTAGTGACAACGTACCAGGGCGGTCCACGACCGCCTTCCAGTATTCGGCCCAGAGATCTGCATTACTTCTGTACTTATACCCAGGGCCATGCTTGGCCCCTTGGAAAACATAAGCCGCGTCAACTACATAAGTGGCATCCCCAGCTGTGGCTTGGAGAGCTCTGACAACTGCTAGCAGCTCGGCTCGGGGAACGGTCTGTCTCCAGCCTGCCGTACTCCCTCGGCAAGAGGCTAAGACAGACTCACCCAGACAAATGGCGAAGGCCCAACCAACACGGCGCAAACGAGGGTCCGACCCATGCTCTCCCCCTGAGCCGTCACCGCCTATTACACATCCTACTGGGAGTATATATCTCTGCCCATCCTCAGGCCACTCTCCCTCTCTGCAAATATCTTCTATAGGGAGAGGGGTGTCCTCAGGCGGCATCGTCCACAAAATCGGAACGAGGCCTCGGAGCCAGAAGCATGGGTAAGTTTCAGCCCCTACCTTGGCTTGCTCGCAGAGGCGGTTGTCTTCTTCTAAATCGGGAATGTCTCTATTGAAGGGGCATTCCCAAAGCTGATGATATAACGTTTCATTAGGTGCGCCGCATCTAGGACATGCCGTGCTGCCTATTCCTGTGTTCTCGAAACGTCGCTGGTTGGGCCACAAGGCCCCTTGGGACATCATCTCCAGAATGGCAGCCCTATGGCTTAAGCCTTTATTGCGCAAAAACTTCAAATGGGCCCAAGTCACAGTTAAGTCCACCCCGTACTCAACCCCCGAGCCCGAGAAATGCTGGCTGGCTTGGGCCCAAATACCCTGTTCCAGGGAAGATCCTACTTCAAAGTCGAGCCTGTCGAGGCCCTCTGCTTCTTCAAAACTAAACCTGAGCCCACAAGGAATGGTCCATTCCCCTGGTGTGTTGGGAATCCAGTTCATATCTAAAAGAGTGGCTTGCACTGCCGCCATGTGCCCCTTGACCTGCAGCCAGCGATGCTCCGACTCCCTCAACTTGGCCAAGGACTCGTCCCAGGCTTTGTCGATGGCGGCACGCCACTCGGGGATCCTAGGGAGATGTTCCTGCCAGGCCTGCAAAAGTTCAAGAGGTCCCCAAAAAAGGGGGTCACTGCGTTTCCCAAGACTAATCCTAATGGCAGTGGTAGCACAACCACCTGCCCACTTACTACCGCACATGGCTGAGACTTTCGCCCGCAGCTTCCTCAGATTCGTGGGCGCTAAGCCCATGGCAACGGCTCCCCAGGACACCTGCGGCTTGTAGCCAGTGTTGGCTAGCTTTTTGGCCGCCTTCACGCTTTTGCCCAGGACTCGAATAGCAACAGCTCGTTTGACTCCCTTCTGGTGTCTACCTTTGATGGTCCCTTGTGTCCTGGAAGCAGTAGCTACATCCACTCCAAGATCACGCGCCGAGAGCTCCACTTTAATAGGTAACTGCAACTCCTTAATACGCTTCCGCAATGCCACACGCACCGACGGAGAACTCGCCAGGCCAACTGATTTCTTTGAAATTCGCAATCCTTTGCTGTACATGCCCGTCGTGAGCTGAATGGCCACTTGCGTAGCCTGGTCCACTACTCCTTCTGCCGTGCCTATGTTAAGTTGCGCCAAGTCGTCGACCCAGCTGCCGATGGAATTTCGAGGAGGAGGATGCGATCGATGGATATTGTCTAACATGTCCCACAGATAAATTCTGGACCAGGCTACGCTTTGCATGCAACCAGCAATAATCGAATGGTTGACCTGGATGCTGTCTGAGAGCATAGTGCCAACCGCGAGCCACCTATCTGCCATGTGCTGCAACATGGCTAAGTAAAAGGGCACAAGGGGGTAATCCAGATTTCCAGCTAAGACTGACAGTTGTTCGCCCTGGATAAGATCATAAAACTTCTCTGCGTCCCACAGAAGCTGCACCCAACTAATATTCAAAAGTCCACACGTTTCTGCTTTCAGTTGCCGTAAAACCGCTGCTCGTAGAGGGCTGCTTCCTTTTACCGCTGCATCCCAGAAACCCGCTTTGCTGCGTTCCCATGTAACTATTGCTTGCTTGCGCATCACACTCCATAAACGATAGGGCCCTGGGGTCAACGTAATCGGTCGATCTCCTCCTGGCGGCGGTTTCGGGGTGAGGGCGACGACGTTGACCAATATTTGCACTGGCCATTTCAGTTGGGTCTCCACTGCAACGAAAAATTCCAACAACTGCTCTTGGCCCTGCTCTGGTAGCGTGAGCCACTGTCTAGGGTTCAACGGGTCAGCTCCAAGGCCCGCATGATCCTTAAAATATCGCATGCCATGCCGCAGGTCTGCAACCGTGAGATCTGGCAAAGGTCGCTCTTCCTGCTGTGCATGAGCGGCTTCACGAAGGTGCTGAAGCCAAAAAGGAAAAGGTTGCTTAGGTCCTCCAATCGTTCCTCCCCAAAGTCTCGACCACCTTTCCGCCTTCACCTTCATCATCTCAATTGGCTCAATTACCTCATTTCCTCCTTCGTCCTTCTCGATGGCTAGGCTTGGCTCCTCCACCTGCCACGTCCTGGAAAACTGATGGGCCCAACTAGCTCCCGAGGACAAGCTGGCACTAAGAAACTTCCGAAATCCCGCTGTACTTTCTTTCATGGCCACGATGGAGACCTTAGCAAGAACTTCTTTAGCTGCATTTAAAACTTCGCGGATGTCCTCCTTGGTCGAGGGAGGCGATATCAAGGCGGCACTGATCTTGTCGCCTGCATTCCTAGCCGATTCTGGAACAGCTGTAAAGTATTGTGCTACCTGTGCCTCGGTACTCCATGCTTCAATCTGTTTGTGTATAGCCGTGCGGTGATTCTGTACAGTAGTGCTCGTGCTCTTATCAGCCAAAGTAAACAGCTCCTGAAACCTCGATCGAATACCTCCCCAGAAACACACTTCAGGAGAGCGTCCAAAATGTCCAGGCGGTTTTGCAGCGATCAGGTTTTGAACTTTGACCTCAGGGCACATACCTCTCCTGTGGGGTCCTACTTCTCTTCCCGCTCGGTTCAGCAAAAAGGCCTCTGCCTGCATGGAGAAGCTCGCGTACAACCTGGTGAGGTCGCCTGAGGTCGCCTCAGGCCAAAAATGATAATGCTGCGGCATCTCGATGCCGTCATTCTGCTGCTGAAACATCTCCCAGGGCTGGTCGGGTCCATATACGTACGGTAGGAGTGGGGTGACAGGTACCAGGATGCGGCCTTCCAGGATGTTCTGAGTCAGGTCCAACTCGCCAGAAATTCCCAGATGTGGCGCCCAAGGTCCCTTCTGATCCAGAGAAAGCTTGACCAAGGAAGCTAGATGTTCCGAGACGACTCCGAAGTCCAGGATTCTTCCAGTGCCTCCAGAATTT